CCTCCTCTTCCTCTTCCTCCTCCTCCTCCTCCTCCTCCTCCTCCTCCTCCTCCTCCTCCTCCTCCCCCTTCCGAGCTTCCCATGGACCCATGCCCCCCCTCTTCCCTTCTCGGCCCCGACACGCCTCGGGTTGCATTCCTGCGCTTTCGTGCCCTTTTGGCGCCCCCGGCCCTGCCTCCGCGGGCCGCTGGCGACCGCGACCTCGGCCGATAGGATGAGAGAAGGAGAAGGGAGGCGGGGGGAGGGCGAAAGAGGCGCAGGAGAGAAGGATACACGCAGGAGGAAGGAGGAGGAGGAGGAGGAGGAGGAGGAGAAGGAGGAGGGAGGAGGAGGAAGGAGGAGGAGGAGGAGGATCACCAGCAGTAGGAAGGACAAAGAGAATCCCCGGGGACCAGACTGAGGACGGAATGCGAGCAGCTGCTGGATGGATGGCGGAAAATCGTCCGATTGAAGTCGGTCCCGGACCAGCTTCTGACACAGATCTGTGTCAGAAGTCAGTCGTGCACCGACTTCTAACACGCATTGGTGCTTTCCCATCGCCCTCTCCTCCTGCCGACCTCCTCATCCCTCTCCTCCTCCCCTCTCGGCCTCCACATATCCTCCGTTCCCCCAGCTTCTCCCACTATGTAGATATCTCTTTTCTTCCGTTCTCTGCCATGCAGCTAGACTATTGCTTAAAGTGATCTTCGCAAAGGAACGAAGATGTATGCCGAGGCTTTCGAGGAACACGACGAAGAGAACCGAGGCAAAGGAACCCGAGCCCGTTCCGACATCAGAATGGTCTTTACTCAAAACCGTTTGAACTGCATCCCCTTCGTCCACACGACCTCTCACCAATCTACCTTCCAGCCAGGCATTCGCGAGTGCCGGCGGGGCCCTCCCCACTCCTCGCTCCTCGCGCCTCCTTCTGCTCCTCGCTGCCCATCGCGTTTCCTACGGACTCCCTCTACGTGTCCACGATCCTCCTTGTCGCTCTTCGCTCATCATGCCTTGGCTCCTCGATCTTCATCCTCACCCCTCCTCCACGATCTTCCTCCTCGCTCTGCACTCCTCGCTTCTCCTCCCTGCTACCCCTCGCTCCTCATCCTCCTCCTTCTCCTCCTCTCTCTTCCCCTTCCTCTACCTCATGGCCCCATCCCCCTCCTCCCTTCCCACCATTATCCTCCTCCTCCTCCGACTCCGTCCCCACCTCCTCATCTTCCTCCTCCGTACCCCTCCCAATCCTCGTGGTCGTTATCCTCATCCTCTTGGTTCTCCTCCACCCACCCTTTCCTCCTCCTTCTCGGCATTAGCGGGCTTCCCGTTTGGGTCGAAGATGAAGCACGTTTCGCGGAGGGAGGGAGACGACGGAGGGACGGAACCGCCCCAGATGGGCTCCTGACGGCCACGGAAGCCTTCCTCCTGGAGGATCCCAAGACAGCTTCAACGTATCGCACGACATCCTAAATATGGCCGAAGAGGCTCGAGGATTCCCAAAGACAGGCCCCAGGGCCAGAAATAGAGTACCAAGGAAGCCCTGGATCGCCCAAGATGTCACCAAAGTTGTATCAGATGGCCCATGAACGTCCCAAAGCAAGTGGTAAACCCGCTTGGCCTATCGACCCCTGGAGTTTGCTCTGTTGGCGATGGTCGATGGTCGGCGAGAGGCCGGCTCTTGAGTGCAGCTCTTACTCACGACCGAGTCTGGAGCTCGTCTTGGGGCCATATTGGTCTCTTTCGGGCCATCTCTGGGCCCCTGTAGGGCCCTCTTGCACCCTCTCGAGTCCTTCTGCAAGCATTCTGCTTCTGGAGCCTCTTGACGGCTCTCTGGAAGCACTCTGCAATCCAGTTCGGGTCATCGTCGGGCCCTGTCCAAGACAGGGGCCACAGCTACTGCAGTAGAGCCAAAATAATGGATGTCCCATGGTATTCTCGCTCTTGTGGTGCACATCCCTCATGCAGATGCCCCGCTGCCCCCCCCTCCTAGGCGCAAATAAAAGACTCTGCTTGTTATCAGAAAGATGGACCCTCAGCTTTCCCAGCGACAGGGGTCGAGGCTATGCTGCGTTTGACAGGACACCCAGTCCAGATCTGCACTTTCCCTAGCTGCCGCTGGCATTCAAGGTTTGGCCCGAACTTCGACATCGACCTCTTCTGAGGGCGCGGATGTGCACGTGCCAGGCGTGCCCCCGTCCCCGGCTGGCCCAGCCCGAACTTTCTCACCTAACCAACGGCGGCGGCGGCGGCGACGGCACCGGCGACGGCGACGACGGCGACGGCGGCGGCGGCGACGGCGGCCACAGCGGCGGCGGCGGCGGCAACGGCGGCGGCGGCGGTGGCGGCCTGCTGCCAGGCCCACGGTCTCCTCCCGCACGCCCGCGGCAGCGGGGCCGCTTGGCCGCCTGGCTGCCCCCGCGGCGCCGGCGCACACCGCGGCGTGCCCCGCCGCCGCGGGCCCCGCGCCGCCCGCCGCGACTGCTGCAGCTGCTGCCGCTGCCGCGGCTGTCGCCGCGGCCGCGGCAGCTCGCGCTCCGAGGGCCGCGGCCGCGGCGGCCCCGCCGCGGCGGGCAGCGGCGGCCGTGGTCCCCGCCGCGGCGGCTCTCGCTGCGAGCGCCGCCTGGGCGGTCCCTGCGCTGCCGGGAGCCACCGCGGGCGCGCATGGCCACGGCGGAGGTCCCCCATTGAGGGGGGCGATGGCCACAGCGACTAGCACGTCTATGTGGGTGGCGGGGCGGGAGGAATAGGGGTGCACGAGGGGGAGAAGGAGGACGAGGGGAAGAGGCACAGTAGGAGGGACGGGGACAAGGTGCACGCCAAACCGTGACAAATGGGTGTCGAGAGCCCTTGCTCAGAGCGACCACATCAGAAGCAACAGTACGAGGACGAGTGGCAACAGAGATGAGCAAAAGGAGGGGACGGGACGGGATCTAAAGACGGAACGTGATTGGATGGAATGCACTGCGGCACGGTCGGCGCGGTCTGGAAGACGAGATGGGACGTGATGGGGTTCTCCTGCTCCTTCTTTTCCGCCTCCTCCAGCTGCTCCTGTTCCTTTCCATTCTGGAATGGGGCGCGGCACGGTTTGAAAGGTCTAGCCTGGGATCCAGATCATGAGACTGAAATCAGCCCTGCGCAGTCTTCCCTCGCCTCTCTCTCTCTCTCTTTGCCCCATTCCCGCAGGCTTCTCCATATTCCCCTCTCCCCTTCCTGCTCCTCCTCCTCCTCCTGCTTCTGCTGCTCCTCCTCCTCCTCCTCCTCCTCCTGCTTCTGCTCATTATGCCTCCAACTCCTCCTCTTCCCATTCCTCCGCCCGCGATTCCTTCCCTTCTCGTCCTCAGAGGCTGTCTCCTCTTTCCCCATTCCTCTCCAATGCCTCCTGCTCGCCACAAAAGGCCAGGATCGGGCCCTCGGCAAACGGTTCACCTCCATTGACCTCTCAGGCAAGTGCGGGGGGGGGGCAGTGAGGAATGACGACGATGAGGACGCGAAAGAGACGTTGACCTGCTCTGGCGATGGCCGACCACTGATGGCCGCGCTGGCCTCGCCGGTCCGGTCGGGCGAGAGCCGCTGGACGCACGCAGCACGCGTGGTGCTCTCGAGGGCGCTTAGCTGCAGCAGCCACGCTGGGGCCCAACGGGCTGCACGGGCAGGAGGAGGAGGAGGCGCTCTCGGTGGCGCTTCTGCCTGCGAGAGCAGTCCAGGGACGGTGGGCCGCGGGGAGGGGGCCCCGACGCCCTTCCTCGGAGGCCTGTGCGCTCGGCAGCCTCCCCCGGCCTCCCTTCTCCATCCTCCCCCGTCCTCCCCCTCCTTTTCCTCCTGCTTCCACTCCCCGACGTTCAAGTCTCACCTTTGCGACCTTCGTCCAGATGTTCCGCCCGATGTGCATACTCGTCGCAGTGCGGCAGGCACTGAGTGGAGCTCTGAATATCGAGCAACGTAAACATGTTTCACAAGCCTCGCGAAGTTCCTGGGCACTAACGGGCGTTTCGGGTGGATTTCGCGCGTGATGTGGTTCCGGCCGGCTTCGCTGGAGACATCCCCTCGCAACTCTGCGCTCCGAGATGCCGCACGTGAGGTGGTCTGGCCCGTTTCGCCTGAGACATCCTCGCAACTCTGGGCGCGGATGTACCGCGCGCGAACTTGTCTGGCCCATTTCGCCTGAGACATCTTCCAAACTCCAGGCTCGAGGTGCCCCCAGCCGGCTTTGCCTGAAACATCCTCGCAACTCGGGGCCGCGGCACACCGTGCTCCAGATGGTCTGGCGCGGCACAGGCAGTCCGCACGCGCGCTCGGGCAAGCCGGGAGACAGCATCGCTAAGCGAGCTAAGTGAACACATATACGGGCCATGTGGCTTCGGAGTACACACTTTCAGAGATTTCCACCACCCTTGGTGCGTGTCTGTGTCGCCTTAAACAAACAAATGTGCGGACCAAGTTTGGGGGTCCGCACCTGCAGAAAACCGATGATCAAATTTGCGTGTCCGCGGCGATTGGAGTAAACAGATGTGCGGGCCGGTTTTAGGGGCGTCCGCACCTACAAAAGGTCTCAGCGTGCGCGTGATGCGTGTCGGTGGCGATTTGAATGAACAGGTGTGCAGGCCAAATGAATTCAGGGCCCAAGCTTTCAGGGAATATCATTGCCGTGGGTTCGTCTGTGGCGCTTCAAGAGAGCAGATGTGCGGGCCAGGCTTTTCTTGCGGCCCGCACTTTCAGACAATACCGTTGTCCTTGGTGCGGGTCTGTGGCGCGTCAGACGCACAACTGTGCGGGCCAGGTTTCCAGGGGGGCCCGCGCCTGCAGAAAGCCAGTGATCAGACTTGCGTGTCCGCGGAAGTATGCGCGTCCGCGGCGCGTCGAGCGACCAGGTGCGCAAGCCAACTTTGATTTCGGCCCGCAGCTGCAGCTCAGAGAGGGAGAGATCGGGAGAGAGACAGAAAGAGAGAGAGAGAGGGAGGGAGAGAGAGAGAGAGAGCGAGACCAAGAGGACGAGCGAGCATAAGCACAATCACATAGCCAATTTCCTGGGGGTTGTAAGACCACCCCTGGCTATATATATATATATATATATATGTATATATATGTATATATATATATATATATATATATATATATCTTTATACACATGACTGTACGCATATATGTATGTATGTTTGCCTGTCTGTATGACTGTTTGCATGTATGTGTATATACGTGCGTATACACCTCAGTCTGTCTGTATGTATGTAGCAATGTAGGTGCGTAAGTCTGTATGTTTGTATGTCTGAATGTGTGTATGTATACATGTCTGTATGCTTGTATGTATGTAGGTATGTATGTAGGTAGGTAGGTAGGTCGGTAGGTAGACAGGTAGACATGATGTATCTTGTATGTCTGCTTGCATGCACGCATGTCAGTACACTTGCGTGTTAACATGAATGTTTGTATGTACGTATGTATGTGTGCATGTATGTAAGTGTATATGTGTATGCGTGTCTGTATGTATGTGCATAAATATGTGTGTATGTATACATGTACGTATGTCTGTATGCCACGTAGGTGAACATGGGTATGATGTGGGTATGCGTGCAAGCATGCATGAATGTAAGTATGTCTAGGTGTATGTATGTATGCATGCCCGTCTGCCTGTCTGCCTGTATGTATGTTTGTCTCTCTGAAGATATACATATATATATACATACATACATACATACATACATGCATGTCTATATGTCTGCATTAATGCATGCGTGTATGTATATGTGTGCATATGTATGTATGTAGGCAGGTAGGTAGGTATGGACGTATGTCCAGTAAGTTTGCATGTATATACGTATGTATGTCTGTGTGTATGCAGTGCGTTGTATTGTGGTAGAGTGTGTTGTATGTTCGTGGATTGTGTTGTATGGTGTTGTGCGGTTTTGTATTATATTGTGTTGTAATGCGTTGTATGTTATTGTATGGTAATGTGTGTGTGTATCCGCCTCCATGCCTCTGGCACGGAGTGGAATTCACCAAGGCTCACAGCTATACCGCTGCTGTTGCCAGGACTGCAGTTTCTTAATTGCCCGGGCCACCAATTTCCCGGGCGCTCTCGGGCGTTCCTGGGGTGTTCCGAATGGGCCACTAAGCGCCTAAGTCGGTCAAGGAGCGCCTCTAGACGGCCCAAGAAGCCTCCGAGACGCTCCAAGAGGCCCCCAAGAGGGCCCCAAGATGCAAAAGTCGTCCTATTCTCTTAGGAAAACGTTTTTTGTTTGTTTAGCAGATTCGCATCTTGGGCTTGCACAACGTCCAAAGCGGCCCCTGAGGCCCCCAAAATCGCCCCAAGACGGCCCAAGAGGCCCCTAAGAGGGCTCCAAGTCCGCCCAAGAGGGCCCCAAGACCGCCCAAGAAGCGCCCAAGACGGCCCCAAGAAGAGGCCCACAGGGGGAACCCGAACATACCCGAACGAACCTTTCGAGCCTTCGGCCCCAAGACGCCCCCAAGAGGCCCCATGCAGTCCCCAAGTGGCCCCAGGAGGCCTCCGAGAGGCCCCAAGAGGGCCCCAAGAGGATCCCAAGAAGCCCAATAGATTGGCCCCCGAGAGCGATCCGAAAAGACCCTAACAAGCGTCGCGGAGGACTCTGGCCCACAAACCAGGCACGGTGGCGGGATGGGTCGAAAGCCATTCGATAGATTCGTGCTCGTATATATATATATATATATATATATATATATATATATAATATATATATATATATATATATATATATATATATATACACATATATATATATATATGTGATACCAGAGAAAAACCCAATCAGAATTTGGGGGGGGGGGGTATGGGGCTTTAGGGCTTTAGGGCTATGGGGCTATAGGGCTATAGGGCGATGTGGCCATAGGGAAATAGGGCTAGGAGCCTTTAGGGCTATGGGGCTATAGGGCTACAGGGCTATATGGGGTAAGGGCTATAAGGCTATTCGGGCGATAGGGCTATATACGGCTATAGGGCTTTAGGACCAGAGGACCATAGGGCTATAGGGCTATAGGGCTATAGGGCTATAGGGCTATGGGGCTATGGGGCTATGGGGCTATTGGGCTATTGGGCTATCGGGCTATTGGAGGTGAGGGGGTGAAATCGAAGTGGAACGGCGAGCCCCCCACCGGGAAATCGGTTTCGGTTTCGTGTTCGTGCGTGCCGTGCGTGCGAGGCGAAGCTGCGTGGGCGGGCGAGAAAAAGTCTCCTGTGGCTGAGGCGCGGCCGGACCAAATGTTTCTCTTCCGGGGCGCGGGGCCCCGCGGCGTCCCGCCAGTGTCCCGCGGCGCCCTCCTGTGGCTGAGGCGCGGCCGGACCAAATGTTTCTCATCCGGGGCGCGGGGCCCCGCGGTGTCCCGCCGGTGTCCCGCGGTGTCCCGCGGTGTCCCGCGGTGTCCCGCGGTGCCCCGCGGTGCCCCGCCGGTGGCCCGCGGTGTCCCGCGAGGATGATGCTGATGAGATGATGATGATGGTGATGATGATGATGATGCTGATGATGATGATGTCGATGATGATGAGATGATGGTGATGGTGTCCCGATGAAGATGATGATGATGTTGATGATGTGTCGATGATGATGGTAGCGTCCCGATGATGAGGATGATGATGCTCGTGATGACTATGTTGATGATGATGACGATGATGGTGTCCCGATGATGATGATTTTTTCCTCCCCCCGCGCCATCCAACCTGCGGACTCGCACCGTCTCTGTCGTGTGGGGCCTAGGGCAACTCCCCTGCGCGCCTTGAGCCAAAATGGCTCGTCGTCCCAGTCGAGCTGACCCGACGATGAGACCCAGGCCGAAACCGAAGGACACCTACCGGCAAGTCTCGACGTCGAACTGCGTCACCCAGAAGAACTCCCCATCGATGACCCTCTTGCCCTCGACCCAGCCCTTGACCTTCTGCACCTTGTACTCCCCCGCGTGGAAGCCCCGCCCCACCTCCGTGATGGGGGCCACCTCGAGGCGAAACTCCGGGCACGCGACCACCGTGCCAACCTGGAGGTAGTCCTTGCTGCAGCCCTTGCAGAAGTCCTGCTCGCTGTAGTCCTTGCTGAGGTCCTTGCTGGAGCCCTCGCCGTAGTCCTTGCTGTAGTCCTTGCTGAGGTCCTTGCTGAGGTCCTTCCTGCCCTTGCTGAAGTCCTTGCCGCCCTCCTTGCTGTCGTCTTTGGCGTCGTCTGTGTTGTAGCCCTTGCCGTAGTCCTTGCTGTCGTCCTTGCCGTCGTCCTTGCTGTAGTCCTTGCCGTAGTCCTTGCTGTGGTCCTTGCTGAAGCCGCTGAAGTCCTTGCTGTAATCCTTGCCGTCGTCCTCGCTGAGGTCCTTGCCGGCCTTGCGGTAGTCCTTGCTGTAGTCCTTGCTGTCCGTGCCGCTGTAGTCCTCGCCGCCCTCGCTGTAGTCCGCCTTGGTAGTCAGCTTGTCCACTTGGGCTTGGAGGTCATCGAGCCGCGCCCGCAGACACTCAAGGTCCGTTCTGGCAGCTTCCTCCTGCGGCGCCGGACTGTCGGCGGCTACCGCTGCACAGGCGGGGTACGCCATGGCCAGAGCCCGCGAGAGCTGGTCGGTGACGTTCACCACATACTCCTTGGTGATGTGCCTGCAAACCTTGTGCGCGAGGCTGAGGTTGTTCAGCTGCCGCGTGAGCTTCGGGTCGAAAGCAACAGTCGCGCCTCGCTGCCGAACATGCCATAGTCCATCCCTCATCGTCGAGACGTGCCGCTGTTGCGCTGACGCCATCATCTGGAGAGCACTGGACTCGAAGTCGCCGAGGAGCGCCAGCGCCGTATTGACCTTCGGATACCTTCCCATCGCGAGCCAGGAGTCGCTGGGCAAGGGAACCGACCGCAGGGCTCGGCCTTGGAAGAACCCAAGAGGAGCATGAGCCACAATGGCTACGGATGGTGTCCCGATGATGATGATGATGATGATGATGATGATGATGATGATTCCGATGATGTTGGTGATGATGATGTTGATGGTAATGGTGTCCCGGCGATAATGATGTTGATGATGATGATGTTGATGATGATTATGGTGTCCCGATGATGATGCTGATGATGATGATGGTGATGATGATGATGGTGATGCTGATGGTGTCCCAATGATGATAATAATGATAATGGCGATGTTGATGATGATGTTGCTCATGATGATGGTGCTCCAATGATGATGATGTTGTTGATGATGATGTCGATGATGATGATGCGATGATCATGATGATGATGGTGTCCCGCGGATGATGACGATGTTGATGATAATGTTGATGATGAGAACGATGGTGATCATGATGGTGTCCCGATTATGATGATGATTCTGATGATGCTGCTGATGATGATGACGATGACTGTGTCCCGATGATGATGATGTTGATGACGAGATGATGATAGTGATGATGCTGATGTTGTCCCGATGATGATGCTGACGTTGATGATGATGTTTATGATGATGATGACGGTGCCCTCATGATGATGACGATGTTGGTGATGATGTTGATGTTGATGATGTTGATGATGATGATGATGATGACGATGATGATGATGATGATGATGATGACGTTGATTGTGAGAGCGATTGTGATATCGATAGTGGGATCGATATTGAGAACGAATGTGAGATCGATTGTGTGATCTATTGTGAGATCGAGTGTGAGATCAATTGTGAGATCGATCGAACGAGGTAGATCGAGTGAGATCGATTGTGAGATCGATCGAGTGAGATCGATCGAGCGAGACCGATAGTGAGATCGATACTAAGATCGATAGTGAGACCGATCGAGTGAGACGTTGGTTCCCCCCCCCCGACCCTCCTTATCACCCGAAGGGTGGTCGTATAGGTACGGCTATAGGGCTATAGGGCTATAGTGGTATAGGGATATATGGCGATTGGGCTATTGGGCTATCGGGATATAGGGCTATTGGGCTAGGCAGCCCCGGACACTTCTGGGCACCCCGGGCACCCGGGCACCCCTGGGCACCCGGGCACCCCGGGGCACCCCCGGGCACCCGGGCACCCGGCCCCGGCCACCGAA